GGGCTATATTTTGCCAACCCCTACATTAGGGTGAGTTAAAAACTTTTAAAAACCAGAGTTTTGGCTGAATTAGTTTATAGTTGCTATAAATACTGCTTAAGACAGCTATACTTTTAAAAAAACTTAAAAAAAATCTTCTTTAGCTGAAAAGAATGATTTGAAAACACTTTTTCCTCTACTCTAAACAGTAAGTTTCTTATGTTGTATATGTGGGTCTTTTACCCAGTATGGAGAGAAAAAACATTTTAAAAATAAGAATGTCACTGTAAAACCGCAAGAGTGTTGAATTGAAGGCAGGTGCAGTACCTGAAGCTAATTTTGATATTTTCTGTCTCTCTCTCTCTCTCTTTTTTTTTTTTAAACTGGCTTTTAGTGGACGGAGTCTCTTTTAAATGTTTCAGTTTTTGCTAAGTTTAACTCATATTTTCACAATCTTTTTTAGATTTCTGCCTGGACTTCCTTTTTCAACATGTTCTAAATATAATCTTTCCCCAATAATTTTTTTGCATTGTGTATGCCTTGTGTGTGCATGCACATGTGTGTATGTGTGTGTTGCTATAAGGTTACTGCTGTTTTGAATTTTCAGAGGAGTCCTTTTACTCGGCTTAGGACCAGCCAATTGCATAATATTAGCCACGTGTAAACTGTGAAATAGAATACAATAGATCCCTCTAAATTAGTCATTTCTGAACCCATCCTAATTTGCCAGTAGGTTAGGACATGTTGTCTTTCATTTAATTTTTTTCTTTTAGTGGTGCTGGCCTTGACATTCCCTTACTTTTTACAAACCATGTCCTTTCTTCCATTTTCCCACCTGCAAGTGTAACTCATCTGAAAACCAGTGTACCTTTTGCATTTATATTCCTCCTAGAAAACCAGACAGAACTCTCTGTTTATGATCCACTTGTGAAGATAACCCACATTCGTTGTAAAAACTTGTATGCTGGAAATGGTTGTTGTGACCTGAGCATATGAAGTGTACCCCTTCCTTTTTTTTATGTCTCCAGTCAAGCTTTGTTTTCACAGCAGGAAATGTCTTTGTTTTGTTTTGTTTTTCTGGGTGATAGACTTATTTAAGAACTGCTGATACCTCCTGGAAGTCCTTGAACATTTTCTGGATCTGTTTCTGTCCTCAGATAGAGTTAGTGGTGTTAGTACCACTCTTGTTAGTGGTGGAGTAGCGGGTGAACATGCATATCTGATGCAGATTTGCCCATTTAATTGGAAAGTTTTGCTTATATGACTCATATTTATGTTTTTACTAGTGACGCTTTGAGCAAAAGAATGACATATGCTGCTTCCAAACTGAACTACTCCTATTGATTTCTTGATTAAAGTCTTCATTTACTTTCTGTTTTCACATTCTTCTTTACAACAACCAGTTGTGATATTGCTGAAGATGAAGACTTTGAATAAAAGCATTAGGGACAGATGAAACTAGGAGCAACAAAGGGTGTGTACAAAAGTTGCTTTTTTGCCATTTAAAGCGCTTTATTTCTATGACTTAACAGAAGTGCACAGCTTTACAGCACTGCAAAAATGGGTACAGTGCTTTAAATTAACCCTTGTTAAATGAGGTATTAAATTTGAAGCATTGTATTTTACAGCATTTCAGCAACCTACAGTGCTTTAAATAACTTCTGTACACCAAATACTGCACTTCTGTCGTGTAACTTTATAGTGCTATAAAAATGCTCTAAATTACAGCATTGTAAAATGTGCATGGAGCACTTCTGTACACACTCAAAGATTGTTATCCTGCAGACATCCTTTTTTTTTTTTTAAAGAAAGAAATTGTAGAAGAAACTAAACTGGCTTTAAATATAGTGTTTTTAAGACTTGCCTAGGATTTTAAAGGATCATCATAATTAACTAAGGCTAGTAAAACTACTTTGTGTTGATAGATATTTATTTGCTTGCTTTCTTTAAAGGGATGTGGGATAAAAAATAAATTTCTAAAAACATATTACAGGCCACTAGTCTTATAAAAAAAAATGAAAAGTGCTTTACTTTGCATTTTATTCTGTTCAGATTTAAATTGGACTGACTAGTGTTGATTTTTGGATATCTTATGTTGCAAGTTGTAGACATTAGAAAGGGCTTGTTTAAATACAACCCAATAACTTAAAGCTTTAAGTTTTCTTTTAAAAATTCTTAAGGGAAAACATAATATAAAAATAGGGTTTTATAAGTGGTCCTTTTTCCCTTACAGAGCCTACCGGCTGAATGCAACAGTAGCGGAGTTCATGTGATCACTAGGAACGGATTTTTTTTAAGTAGGACTAGCCAGACAATGCATGATTCAGAGCATTGATCTTGGTGGGAAGTAATCCAGAGTAGTCGTGGAAATTGATAGCGATAGGCATGTGGAGTTACGATTGTTAGTACAATTTCGACTGTCATATGGATATAGTCTGTATAATATGGATGTGAAATAGAAGCCATTTAGTATCATGCAATTGAATTCTTAGCGTATTCATTATAGTAACAAGGAACTTTTCTGAAGAATATTGTATATCTATTGATTTCTAAGTTTTAAAGTTATTAGATATAATTGTGGCAGTAGTATGGATTTGTGTATTGGACATCAGAGACCCTCCTTTACTACATACCCCACATGATGTAGAATTTATTTCTATCTGATTGAGGGCCAGTCAACATGTAAAATTCCTGTCTACTAACCTGAAAAAAGCTTCAAATTATTGACCTTAAGTTCTAGTTTTTTGTATAACCTTAAAATAAACATAGCATTTATGACCAATTTTTCCAGGTATTTGGAAAGGGTGGGATTATAGAGAGACTGAGTCTGAACCAGCAGGGGTATTTGTGTGCTTTTGGTGGTTTGGTTTATGTTTGGATTTGCCAAGAGTTTAGTGTGAATTGAACACTTCTCTTGTATAATCTTATGTGATTGGCTGTAAAGCATCAAGAGCTACAGCTAACTATGTAGCCCTTTGTTTTTAGAAATTTAAATACAATCATGAACATTATGTAATTTTAGCTAAGTTATAATCTCTGAAGTGACTCGAGGTTAGAATAATAAGGATTGTACAGGTCAAGGCTAACGTGCATTTGACATAAATGCTTGATGAAGCTTACAAGGTAATTAGTTTTACTCTAGAGCATTAATTATCCTAATACAGGATGTGCCACCAACTGCTTGGTATGTGGTTCAAGTAAAAGCAGTGGTGAATAAAAGAGAGAATTATTTTAATGACCAGGAAAAAAATGGAATAATCAACAAACTGAAAAAGGCAAATTTGTTACCAAACTTGCTTTAGAGAATGGTGTCAGAGTAGCTTGTTTATTATATGTTTTGTAATCAAACAATTTGACCTCATGAATAGTTTTTGATCCCACCTAGCTTAGATAATTAATCCTCCTGTATGTAAAATTTGGCTCTTATTTGAAACTGTTTGTGTCTCATCCCATCTAACCAATTAAAAACCACCAGCACCAACTGAACCTACCTCTGTGGACCGCACAGCCTGACTGAATGGTCACAATATAAAGCAGTGCTGTCCACCTTGTGGACTGTGTACAGCTTTGGAGGTTTTGCTTTGCAGCCCCCAGACTCCCGCCTGGCCTTCTCAATACTCTGGCCGCAGCAGCTGGGGTCCCTGGGTTCCATCTCCCTCCTTTAGCTTCTGCTTCCTGCCCCTGAGCCAGTGCTGGGGGTAGGCATGGGGGGGGCATAGCACAGCCTGTGGGGCTGGGGGAGCCGCTTGGTGGCATGGGACACCTGCATGGTACAGTTCAGTGGGGGAGCTGGGAGTGGGGACAAACATGCTTGTGAGGCATGATGCAGTGAGGAGGGGATAAGGGTTGTGTGTCATGGGGCAGCAGGTGGGGGCCCACATGGTGTGTGGTCCTGGGGGCCATGGCCCCTGCTGGGACACCCTGTGACATGCAATCTCTGGCTGCTTAGAAGTTGGGCAGTCCTGACCTGAAATTTAACCTTTTTGAATGACCTCTGCAAATTTAATAATGGAAAATGTAACACTGAGGATTTTACATAGTTAGCTGACAGGCATTTGGTTAATGACATCTATTTTGTGACCTGTTTTCTTTTGCTTGGAATTCACGTGGGAATGCTCTTAGTCCAACTATTGTCCAGTAATTTTAAAGTTCTTCTGTAGAAGAAGAGTATCTTTATCACAGCAGATGTTTTTTGTATCTGCTTCGTGCATGAATAATACATCTGTGAGATTCCAGGGGTGAAGAGGCTTCAAGAAAAAGTGGCAAATATGTTTCCACTGACCTTTCTTCTCCAGTTCCTTGAGTGTGTGATGGGTGGCAGTTAGGGAAGTGTATGTATTTAGAATTCTGATACAAATCTCAGAATTTTGCAGGAAATAGAATTTTCCATGGGAAAAATGAGCTAGACCATTGTATGCCCAAGTCCTGACACATTTGAAGCAGGGGGCAATATGTTTTTAAGAATTTTCTATACCTGTGATAAGAATGGGTAAATGGTACATGGCGATATAGGCTAATTAAGCTGCACACGTTATGTGAAGCCACAGATGTTCATGAAAGATTTTTAAGCAAGCAGAGCGTGAAGAACTGACACCACATATCGTTGAAGTGGTACAGATAACAAAGTTAAATGTTGTGACTGAGTAATAGTGTTTGTGTGCCGTGCCTTGCTTATTAACGAACTTTGCTTGATTGGTGTTAATGATCGAGAAGAATGTGTTCATGGTAATATTTTAAAAGCTCTAGTTTAATATTTCTCCATTCTTCAAGAAGAATGATTTACTACAATTAAACTGCATGGTACTGTTTTAAGCATTGCTTCTGCATATTAGATAAAGGCTATCTGAAAAAGCAAAACAAGCTTTGATTCGGCACCATTTTACTCCGACAAGTAGTTCTGCTGGTCTCAGTTGGCTATGTAATGTATGTGAGGAAAGAGTTCAGGTGCAGCAGAATTAAGCCTAATATATTTTTATTAAACTATATTAGCTAAAAAAATAATAATGGAGCTTTATTGAATTTTAGGATCACAGAACAATGATGCCAAAAGACAGTTTCTTCTAGAGCGGTTACTGGATGCAGTTAAGCAGGTAAGAAATGAAAACAACAACGATAAGTCTGCCTGAATTTTGAAAGCTTTTTTTTTTTTCAGTATAAATGCTGAGTTGGCCACTCCTGCAAAATTTATCATTGTCTTTTCCTCTCTGCAACAAATGTAGAGAGAGTCTTGCCTTCTTAAATTAGTTCTCTGCTATGAAAAATAACACGTAGTGTAACATGTTTGAAAGTTTACTGGAGACAAGGCAGGTTATCACAGTGCATGTTGACTGTTTAAGGTGAACCCCCAGACTCCTTCTGAGTGTGTTGGCATGTGTTGCAATTACGCCTTGCATTTTTTACAGTACAATGTTAGTAAATATGTTGAAGGTGTACCTTTTTTCCTAAACCAGAAAGGGTCTTTTGTCCACCCAGAAGGTATACAGCCAAAACTTTTAAAGATTTTTAAGGCCAGAAAATAATGTAAAGTATTTTAGAAGTTTAGAATAAAATCTCTTATTTCTTAGCTACATTAATCCAGAATTTGAGGAAGAAAGCAGAGAAAGTGTGCTGGTTTGTTTTTTGATGATCTCCATACCTCTTAATATTGAAGAGGTGGTAATATTGACAAAGATGGGCTTTTTCCTCCATATCTTGTCATTATTTGGCAGCTTTTGTCTATTTATAATGCACTATAGAAAACAGTGCTTATAAACATTGTTTCTGAAAGTAGGTGTGTGTAAATTCAGGCCATAAGTTCTAACTGAAAATAGATCTGGATAACACTGGCATACTGGTGAAACTAGTTTGAGGAAAATCGACTTCTCAGCCAAGTTCACAAAGAAGTTCTAAAACTATTAAAATTTGTTTTTTCAAAATATTTTATTTTTGAAAAACTTAAATCTGTTTAATTTCTCAATTAATTTCTCAATTAATTAATTTAATTTCTTTTTATTTATGAAGGACAATAATTTTAAAAGACCTGTAAGTGGCAACGTAAGCCGTGAATATATTAGTTACTTACTGAGTGCAAATTTCCACCCGATTAATTTTTGTTGCAAGGACGTGTACATATGGAAAGTCCCAAACCCAGTAATACTTTAGTTGTCTTTTGTCTTTGCTGTTGCCTTACCAAGAGCCCCTTACATAGATTGTTCTGGTCAGCAAGAATCTTTTTGTGCTGTGATGATAGTTTTGTCAGATAGTATAAATATGAAAATAAAATTCAGGTTCCTTTTAATAACAGGCAGCCACCTTAATTTGCACATCTTTCCTGCTTGTCTTAGGTGACTGAATTTTTGTTTTGTTTTAAAATGCTTCAGAATCTTCAGATTCTTAATATTGATGGTATCCTTTTAAACCTGTTTGTTACAGTGTCAAATCCGGTTTGGAGGAAGAAAAGAAATTGCTTCAGATTCTGATAGCAGGTAAAAAAAAATATAATAACAATAATAAAACTAACATCAACAACAGAAAAAACTTTTAGAAGGTTAAACTGCGTGTCCTGCTTACTGGAGTTCACCATAGGAAAATGTTTGGCCCTTTTGCAAAGAAATCCTTGCTTACGTAACTTCAGCCACAAGAAACGGTTGGTTGCATTCTTTCTGCTTGTGCATGCAATGTTCCAGATGAAGGGGCCGCCCATGTGCTTAAGTGTTTGCAGGATCAACGCTGAATTCTGGAGTGTGGGCACAGGGCCCTTAAACTTAGACGATGCCCTATGTCTGTTTGTTTTCTGTTGTGTTTCTTCTTCTTTTAAAAAAACAACTAATTAGAACCAGGTGGATTTTTCACTCCCAGTGTTCTACCTGCAAGTGACTGGTTTCTCTCATCTTATTCTAAAATACCTCTCTTCTAAGTAATACAAATTCAGAGTGGAAATTTTCATTTAGACCCTATTAATTCCAGCTGATCAGCTCAGTTATGGCTTAGGTAACAGGTTTGTGGGCTTTACTTGAATAACTGTTAATGAGAACTGATGGAGACCAATATAGTGTTTTGTTGCTCTTCCTGAGTCCCTTACTTAAGAATTGGGAAAATGAAACTCCAAAGAGAAAAACAATGGCTCTATTTTTCCTGTAGTCTCCAACATGTTCAGTTGCCTTTTCACCTGCAGTTAGTCATCCTTAGACAATGTCTGTGGAAACTGCTATGTTCCTAACTTAGATTTCCACCCACCCACCTCCATGAGAAGCACACTTAATTGACATTTGATTGTTTTTTTTTTGTGTCCCCCACCTTTTCCATGTCCTTTGTAATGTCATGGAGGAAGGCAATGTTTGCTTGTGTATACTGTTAAAATGGACATGGGTTTCTGAAGATGTCAAGCAAAAACTTCTAAAGAAAAGTAAGATTTTCGTGACCAGTCTAAAGCTTGTCTAACTTTATCCCAGTCATGTAACTGGCCCAATAAAAGATATCATCCACAAAAATTCTTGCCTCTCACCAAATTTCTGGATCACTCTGGCTACCACATCACACTAACACTAAAGAAAAACCTTTTGTCATGTTGTTCAGTTACTGAAATGTTTTAGCAATTTGGGTTGTCCCCTTTTAGAATTTGTTTATTGACAAACACAGGCAATTGGCACTGAATATTATATTGAACCAAATATAGTACAGTTTACACACAAATATTCCTTTTAGTCAGGCAGACTAGTCATCTTAGTCAGTAATGTAGTATTTGGCATTTAAGGCTTTAACAAGAAATGGAAATGTCGTGAACAGAGTTTTCCAATGCTTGGTTTTCCAGTAAGAGTTGGAGCTCATGATTTTTGGAGGTGTTAGCAAGTCTTCAACTTCCACAATCTGTTAAGGGCTTTAGTTCACAACTAGATATTTTACTAGATTACTATAGTATAGTATTTTTTGAGCTTTTACTAAAGCTGGGTTGTTTTAATTATTTTCAGTTCTGCAGTGTCTAACACACAAGGGCCTTGTTGTTGCTTTGTCCAAGTTCTTACAACACGCTCATTGCTATGAGCATATCTGTTGCACGCTGTTGAAAACACGTCATTACAGTATTTTCCATTTTAGTGGCTAAGTTATCTTTTGTATAAAGCCACCTTCCCATAGATGACAAGTAGGAATTTGTTTCCATAGCTAATAAAATAATTTCCATTTGCTTTTGGAAGGTTTATTCATTTTAATGCTTTGTACTTAGTGGTTTTGCTTTCATTCTAGTTGTATCTGGGATGTTAATAGCTTGATTGACATCTCTTTATCACAGGAGCTAGATTCTTAATTTTTCTGTTCTTTCTGCCTGCAAGAGTCGCATGGCTCTTTTGGTCAAATTTGTTTGTTGGCATTTCCTCTTGACCGTAGCAGTTGGCTTTAACAAAACATGAAATTGTTCACAGCTATTTTCACAATTCCATTCAGAATGTTTTGAATAATATGATACTTATTTTGAAATTCAGATTTTCTTAAAATAGCTGATGAAAAATACTGTTTGTTTAAAAAAACAAAACAAAACACAACCCAAAAAACAAAACAAAACAAAACAGTCTTCTGTCATAGCTGGCAGCCAGGCTGCATCTATTTCTTCTTTGTGGTCTCCCTGAATTTACAGCTTCAGGTTTTGGAGCATGGGTGTTCTACCATGCTAGGGTGGATTTATGCAGTTCTTCCATTCTTAGGCCAGAGCCTGGGCTATAATATCCCCTATATCAGTGGTTGTCAACCTTTTTAGACACTAGGCACCCCTCATTAGACCTGAGATACCCTCAAAAAATGCCAGCTCTTAATTTTTCACTTATTTTTGACTGTAGAAAAATAATAGAGCTAAGAACTCAGATCACTACAGATCAGAATAGATGTAGTGCTGTGGATTCCTATTTGAAATATCTGAGTTCATCTTTTGAATAAGGTTTGCATACCTAATAATGCTAACTTTGTGCAGCACCCCGCAGCAGTCTTGGAAGGATCTCAATGCCGTTGGACCCTGGTTGCGAATCTCGGCGTGTCACAAGATGTTTACTGTGCAGTTGACTACTTAGCTGTACAGTAAATGTTGTGCATCTACATTTGCATCACCATTAGGCCAGACTAATTTATTCTGCATCAGGGGTGCTTGTATACATGATGGTTACCACAATGCATACATGACAAAAATGTCATTAGTGTGGCTTAATGGTGTCACACATTACACATGCACCAGTTTGGGGGGGTTTAGATGAGTTTGCATCATTGCAAATTAAACTACATCTGGATGTAGTTCAGCTTGCAGTAATGCATTGTTGCTGTCAGCTTGCTCCCTGGACATGGAAGAGGTGGGCAGGCTCTGTTGAAAATGAGGATTGGGCCCCTTGCCTGCTGAAGGCAGAAGCAGTGATGGGCCCAATCCTTTTTTTTTCCCTCCACGGAGCCTGCCTTCCTCTTCAGCAGCCAGGGGGTGAGCTGCTGGTGGGCTGAGTGTCCCTGATCTGCAGCAGGCCCTGGTCCCTCCCTCTGCAGTGGTGGCTTCCCCCAGGGCTGCCTGGGGGGGCTACTAGCAGGCCGGGTGCTGCCCCAGTTTGGAGGCAGCACCTGGCCTGATCCAGCTGTTGCCTGAGCCCCACCACCTGCACTGGGTGCTCCTCCTTGGGTAGGCTCAGTGAACAGTTGGATCAGGCTGGGTGCTGCCCTCGAGCTGGGGGTGCACTGCCATTGTGGAGGGAAGGACCAGGGCCTCCTGCAGCTCAGGGGCTGCTCAGCTCACCAGCAGCTTGCCCCAGCTCAAAAAAAAAAAAAAATTGGGGCGCCTCACTGTAATATGATGGAAAAATTGAAATGATGTGTTTCAATTAAAAACTCACCATTTCAATTTGTGGGTATAGAACAAAACCCTGAGGACTAAATCCCCGTCATGTGTAGAGGCACCTCAGGATAGTACTTGTAAGTACAAGTACTATCCAGCTGTGGAATAACAAACTCTGTAGCAGTGCACATGTAGATGCTGCCCCAGTTGGTAAGTGCTTTAGTGTGGGGGCTGCCTTCCGGTTAGCTCCTCAGTGAAGCTCCCTCATGCTCCAGCCAGCCGCTGTGCAGCACATTGAGCCAGGTTGGAACAGCCCTGGGTTGGCAGGCTGACTCCTGTGCCACTTGTCAGCTGGGGCTATTCTGGCCCAGCTCAGTATGCTGCTCATGAAGAAACTGTGGAGCAATAAGTTCTGGAGTTTCTTCATGCACATTAATTGCATGTGTAGATGCACTTCCTGTTCTGTAGTAACTCTTCTGAATTGGGGCACCAATGGTTTTTTTAGAACTACTAGTGATTTACTAGCCTTCGGAAAGCCAGCTTGTTGTTGTGTAACAACAGAAACAACACCTTAGAGAAAAGAGTTTAAACAGCACTGCCTACTTCATCTTTTTTTTTTTTTTTGGAAGTTTTTGCTTTATATCTAGAGCGAGACTGTGCAGCTAGAAGCCCAGTGCTACATGCAGCCCTCAGAGGGTCAGTATGTGGCCCATGGGTTTCTACCTGGCTGCTACTCCCCATCCCCACCAGTTGCTCTTGTCCCGCGGCCAGAAGGGGGCTCAAGTGCATATGCTGTGCTTGTGGCAAAAAAGGGAACCAGGCTGCCTGCACTGCAGGTGGGTGTGTGGGTGGCCAGGAGAGAGGGGTGTGGGTGCTGCACATTTGCAGGGAGGAACCAGGCTGCCTGTGTTGTGGAGACGAGGGGTGCTGCCTGCGTGGCATGCACAGCTGGGAGAAAGTGCAGGCAGCCTGGCTCCCCTATGTGCATAGGTGCGGAGGCATCAGCAGCCTGCACAGTGGTGGGGAGTCAGGCCTGTGGTTCCCAGGTGTACAGCCATCTTGGTGTGTGGTGCCCACTAGCTTGGAAGTTGGACAGCCCTGATGTAGAGTTGTTTCTAGATGTCCATTTTATAGTGCTCCAATAGACACACCCCTTTTGCAGTGCTTAGCCAATCGCTGTGGCTGTGGGAGGGTTAATGCAAGATTCTGCCCCTTCAGTTTGCTAAGCAGACACAGGTGGCAGCCAGCTTGGGAGCTGCATGGCATGCACAATATCTAGCATTGAAGAAAACAGCTTTCCTCTTTAAAACACACATCCCAATACTGGGGGGCCTGGTTTTGTGGGGAAAATGTGAATGTTGTATTTGAGAAAATACAGAGTGTGTAAATGGAGATTAAATGAATCGGATGAGACTAGCACTCCAATGTAAGAGGATTAGTAGTTTTTTAATTGGCTGTTAATTCTCTCTAACAGTTGTTCTCTCGTTCTAAATCAGTGGTGCTCAACTTCTGGCCTGTGTAGCCATGTCATCTGGCTCATAAAGCTCATCAAGGGTCTGGAAGTCTGGCATCAGGGGAACGCTAGCAGCATTAATTGCTTCCAGAGCTGCAGCAATTAGTGTCACCGCTGTTCTCCTGCTGCCAAATTTCTGGACCCATGGGGTACCCTGTGGTTTGGATGACATGGTCCCATGCGCTGGATGGGGCCTCTGTACTTTGGAATCTGGTGTATGCCGGAAACTTGTGATCTAGTGCGTGGAGTCGCACTGGCGTGCAGGGTCACTGTGACTTAATCTGGTGCCTGGGGTTGTGTTGGTGTGCAGGGTGAGGCATGCGGGTTTTGGCCTGCACAGGGGGTGTGCTACAAACCGACCTCTTGTAGGGGATCCAGCCTGCAAACCAACCCTGCATCACTTCCTCAGTCCGCATGGCCGGATAGGTTGAGCAACATTGCTCTAAGTAGTAACTTTGGCATAGTGGATATGAATTGATTATATAGAGTTTTCAAAACATAAGAGATTAATTAAAGTAAAAGGGTATTTCTTAATATATAATTTAATTGTCCAACTGGCAGTTTTCTCTGTCCATTTTCACTTTATTCTGCATGTCTGAGTCTATAACATTGAAACATAGTACGTGAAAAGAGTAATAAACATGATTAGCTATCCTGAGTAATTTATTCTGTTGCAGAGTGACTTGCCTGTGTGCTCAGTTTGAAGCTGTGTTTCAGCATGGTTTGAAGAGGAGTCGTGGATTAGCGTTAACAGCAGCAGCGATCAAACAGGCAGCAGGCTTCTCCAGTAAAACTGAAACGGGTAATGCGCTGTTCCAACAAGTCTATTGAAAATGTCAAAACATTCCTACTTAGTATGTGTAGGCAGCTGATATAACCTCTAATTTTTGGATTTAAGAAAACAACTCTAACTAAGCTATTTTAGCACATTTAACAACTGAAGCCTCATTATAATATCAAAATGGTCCTTAATTCATTTTTATGTATTATGTTAAGAGTGTTAATGCTGAAGAATGATGATATTAAATATCTGAAAATAGTTTAAAAATCCTAGGTGGTGTTGATAATTGTTTGGTGCTTGCTGGTACTCAGTCTCATGAAAAATGATTATATACCAATATAAAACTGCCTAGAAGTTATCCATTTAAAAAAGCAAAACAAAAAACCTATTTACTTTAATCTCTCAGTTTCTTGGCCCCCAATGTTAATGCTGTCTACAAAAATACACAGTCCATGCAAATATATGATGTAAAATTTTTGAGCACTCTTATTTTGTGATAGTTGATATTGCAAAACACTGTGTAATTGTGCCATTGAATTTATGATGCTTTCATTTAATTCATAATCATATATGAATTTGCTCTTAAGTTAATATTTTTTATGGTATTCAACACATATTTAGGAATCTGCATGAGCTATAAGCCTTGATACATTAAAAAAAAATCTTAAGTGGCTTCAGTTGGGTAGGGGTTTATTTATTTACTTATTTACTACTCTTTAATGATGTGTGTGCAGTGATTATCTTTGGTGGACTCTTCTCATCCTCCTCCCCTCCTTTTCCCTTACTTACACTCAAAAGCGCTCAGATAGTTCAGCTCCATTAAGCTTTCAGAGGTGATGTCTACTTTGCTTAGCCTCAGCTGGTTTGTGAGTCTGTCTTTGTGAAAGTGATATCAAATTTAAGATATTTGTAAGGGGCTTTATCTTTCTGGCCTATTAACAGCACCCAAATATAACAGTACTATACTTTGAAATTTCATTCTTCAATGTGATGGAATTTATTATTCTGTGACCTTCAGTTAGTTTTGTCAATAATTGTGTGGCTTATCTGTGATGTCTTGTAGCTTGATCTAATTTTTTCATTTGTCATTTCAATGCAATTTTTGTTATTGGATATGGAATAGGACATGGTTTTGCTGGATTTTTTTTCTTGATGTTTTCTTCCTAGTCTGTCAACTTGTTGGTACAGATTTTCCTACATTTTGCTCTTTAATAGTTGTATCCAAAAGTCAAAACAGCATGGAAAGTTGGAATATATATACAAACATAATTCATTTGCTAATGCAAAGTTTTTGCACTACAAGATTATTTAAATCTGCTGTTGCCTTCTATTGAGCTGTATGGGCATTCTGCCTCAATTTCCCTCCTTCAGTCTTTCAGCAGGCAGCCATTAAGGGGACAGTTCTTTGTCCTTTGTTCCCCCATCTCCAGTCATCAGTCCCAACTTTTTGTATAGGGGGGACAGGTAAGTAAATGTTGTTTTTTTTAGGAGAGAAGGAAAAGAATCTTTTTGGCTGTTGAGAAGATCACAGTCAGGACTTATGAGTAGTAACGTGCGGTAGCTGAGTTAAAACTGAGAACATGAATATAGCATGGGAGGCAAACAGGCAACATTGAACAGTGATAGACTATGTATATTGTTAATGGAATCATCACTGTTTGTTTGCTGGTAAGCTTATTGTTCTGATGGATTGTGTTTCTCAATCGAGATGCAGATGTAAATTTTTACAGTTACCACTTTCTCAGAAATTATTCAGGTTTGTATTCAAGGTGGTAATAACCTGAAGGAAGAGGTGACACCTGTGATTAACAAAACTGTATGAGACAGTTTTGTTCAAAGATGGCTGTGTAGCATTTTTGACAGTAAAAGAGGTAGACTGTTCAGATGAAGGATTTTAAGGTGAAATTAACTGAAACTTAAGGAAAAAAATGAAATATAGACAGGCTGGAAATCTCTGTTTATTGTGCCAGGAAGGGATCTGTAATATTCTTTTTTTAAATTTTTGTTCACATTAATACAAAATATATGTTTTGAAAAATCTGTTCTTTGAAAAGTGAAGCCTTCTAGAAGATCTCTAAAAATCCCCATGGTATTTAAAATAATTAATTCTTGTATTTATAAAGAAAGTTCTCAACCTCATTTAAATCTTTTGTGAACTAACATCATTCATGGTTACAGCTGTATGTAGTCATGGCAGGTATGCACAGTTGTTACAGGTTGCTTCTTCTTTGGTAATGTTGCCACTTTTCTAGTTTATACCTCCTAGTTTAATTTCTTTATTCTCTTTAGTTAAACAAATAACAAAACAGGACTTCAGCTCTGATGTTCATTCATCAGTGTGCAAGTTTGAATCCAGGCAAGATTTTAGCATCTCCTAGAGTTTTAGGATAAAGTGTTTCCGATGCTTTGCAGGATTTGTTTGAAAGCTTGTTAAAACTGTATTATGAAACGAGTCTAAATACCTATGGAAAATTCCTCTCATCTGACCCCTTTTCCCCCTTCCCCCCTGCCCCTGCTGTCATGCTGCTATTAATACAATAGTTTTAATAGACGCAGAGGTCTGTTGCTCTCTTCCGCTTGGTGAAACACTTCTGTTGTTGCTTGTTGCTAGTGGAACGTTTGTGCCCACGTTACTGTGCTGGGCCAGCATATATTACCTTTCCCGCCTCTTCTTCCACTATGTAGGTCTTGTGCAATACTGTATATTGGTATATATTCTCCTATAATCTCAGATGCTTCAGAACAATACCTGGTAAGAATAATTCATGATTCATCAATCCATTCTTGGATGTTATGTAATTTACTTTAAACATAGGTGAACCATGGCAGAGAAGTCAAGTGATTTCCTTAAGATCATGCAGAGAGTATAGAAGTTGATAGCTTTATTTTTTGGCTTATTGCAACATACCATCTTAATCTATTATAGAAAGTGATTAACTTGCAGGGTCCTGTTACATTTAATGTAAAAAACCCCCTTTTATTTAGCTATATTTCAGTAGCTATTCTTAGAAGAGGGGAAATCAAAATACTTATATTTTATTCAAAATGTCTGTTAAAAGCAAAGCAAAACTTTCTTCTGCTTTGTGAATAGCGAAAAGGCCACTATAGCTATTAATGCCAAAATATTCTTCAGCAATACTATAGTGTCAAAATAGTGGAAAGAGTCTCAAAACTTTTTTCAGTTTGATTATAAGCGAAACATTTAAAACACAGGATAGCCACAGTGCATCAATATGTGTTAGGTTCTTTTGCATTTTTCCCTGTCCGAAAGATCTAGAGTTCTGCTTTCTGATGCCAAACTTCAAAATATGTCTGTCTACCCCAAAAATCACTCCAGAATGACTTACTTGCATCACAATGCCACAGCTGCTTAAGATTGCATAATATGTATCAGCTTATTTATTGGATCTAAAAAAGGACAAAATGGCATTTTAAAATGATATAAATGATATTTATGTGAAGTAGTTTATTATTTGGTTGAACATGCATAACTTCAGTGTTTTTCCTTTTTACATATTATATTTACTGAAAATAAAATAGGTTTTCTTTCTGATTTGTTTCTTCTTATACATATGTAGTCATGGACTCTGGAAAATGATCAACTTTAGGATTGGGATTTTGGCCTGGCTGCTCCCTCTTATGTTAATGATCAATTGCTTTTGGAAATCTCATTTTATTTCATTATGTTCTTATATAATATGTGTTGTTGAGGTACTGTAGTATGTAATGCCAGTATTTAATTGCCAATGCATAGACTTCAGACAGATTCCATAGATTTTGTATTAGCTGTTGATATCTCCAAATCCATTCTTTTTATTAAAAACCATCAATATGTATAAATAAAAAGAGTGCCAGGAGACACAAGATGATGTTCACATTGAACATAAGAGGAAATATGGTTGTTTTTCTATTCCTGTAACAATTTCACTTCCTTTTTCAAATTTTCTGTCTTCTTGAAACTCAACTGCATTTTGTCAGTCACGAAAGGCTATTCTTTAAAGAAGCAAACCCTTAGTGTTGCTATTCATGTGACATTTAAAATAATCATTTTCTTACATACACAGGTTAAAATTTGGAACAGATCCAAGTAAGTGCACAAGAAATAGATGGATAGAACTACAGATATCCTTAGTCATATAACTTTCTAAATTATAAAAGTTTTTCCATAATATCCTGTGGGAGTTGCACACGATGGTTATATGGTTTTACTTTTTTGTTAATGCCTTTAGGTTTCTAAAGCAGTATAACAGTCTAAATTTTTACATGCCTTTTAATGAAGATTAACAGAGAAACTAAAGAAAAGAACCAGCTTCTACCAGCAGAACTTGCTACTTGCATGTTGACTACAGCTCTGCACATCTCACTCCAAAGCTGAAGTGTCTGTAGGCTTTTCATTTTTATCAGAAACAGAGAGAGAATTCCTGGATGACCTTTCCTATAACATTCATTACTTAAAATTTCAGACCTGTACGATTTGGAAAAGAGATAAGAAAGGAAGGGCAAGATTGAGGTAGCTAATCTCTTCCCACAATTTTTTTTCTTTTTTTTATGATTTTTAGTGCCAAGTGAGCTTTTTCCATTTGTACCAAGTCCTTGACTGGACTATTAGAACTAAATGCAGTGATCAAGGGGAAGATGTGCTGTGTACTTATAAAATAGAAGTACCATTTTTTCTCTAGTTCGCTCTTAATATGAATCTAAATTGTTTAGTGTGTTTTTTCTGCCAGACACCTTTTTAATTGAGCTGTTAAGGAAGTTGCCCGTGTTTCTTTGAGGTGCTTGATGGGTTCTAAATTAACTGCAGAGTGTAGGAGTAGTTTAAATTGTTCTCTCTCCATTTTTTTTCCACTGCTCTTGCTTGTTCTCAATTTCACCTGTTACCATGTTGTCAATTGCCAGTGTTAGTTAAATCCTTTAGGAGTAGTCTCTAGTAGTGACACATTTAAACTCTTCAGCATCCTCAACAAAGCTTTATTGACACTATTGTCATTCAGTTGTTTTTTTAAGAAATATATATTTCATGCTATATTAATAGCTTATAGTGATACACAAATTGTGTGTAGAAGTGATAGAAAGTTTTATGGCAATGAATATAATATTGGCTGCTGGAGTTACGTGACTTGTCATTAAATGTATATATGCTTTGAAGCAACAGGCATCAATATGCATTCCCAAATGAAACTTGGAATGCACAATGTAAATTAAGGGATGCATCATCTCTGAACCAGGAGTTCTAGAGTTTTGCATTCCTCAGTGTAAATTAAATGCGACTTAGACGACCTTTTAAATTATAGCAGTGAAGATGGAATCCTGTGGGGATGATTCCTATTACAAATGTCTTATGTGAATAGCTTTTGTGAAATTCAATAGAAATAAGCAATCTACTAAATTGAAAAGTTAGAGTAAACTGGGAAATGAATCTCCAGAGTTCAAGGTAATCAACAGCTAATTTTATTTTTCTGTAAAATAGCATGGTAAGTTTTATAAGACAGCAGCAATTGGAAATAGTTTATTAGGTTTACATAAGCAGGAAATAGATGTTTCTTAAAGACCAGCTGAATAGCAATAATATCAGTAAGGTTTGGTTGGGGAGTTTACATGCATCACTGTTAAAGGGTTTGGAATAACTGATAAAACTGTCACTAGAAATTAGACAAGTGGTATAGGGGGTGGCATTTTCTTTAATGATTGGTAGGCAGAGAGTAAAACAAAGAGAGTTAAATGTATTTTTGTGTCTTTATTTATTTTTCAGAGCCAGTGTTTTGGTACTACGTGAAAGAAGTTTTGAATAAACATGAACTACAGCGTTTTTACTCTTTAAAAACAATTACTACAGATATTGGCAGAGGCCGTGCCTGGTTGCGCTGTGCATTAAATGAGCATTCTCTGGAAAGATACGTTCATATGCTGCTTGCAGATAAAAATCGACTTAGGTAACTATTTAGTGCTTTTATATTGGAGGAAATTTGCATTCATTAGCAGACTAAGCACTGGCATTTAAAAATGTTTGAAGCTGTAGTAATAGACTAAGTATTTCATCTCCTTTTAGTTAAATGTAAGATAACGATATTAGCTTTTAAGCAATGAATTAACTCCGTAGATCTTGCCTAGTGTTGTTTGCTTGTATCCATCTTTCCTAATTTGCTGCAAAATTGTTTGGTAATTGTGTTGGTATTTAGTTATTTGAGAACTCACACATGGATAAGCAGTGGTAAGTGATATGGCAGTATTAGTTAATATAGCTATTTATCGAGAAATAAGCGCAAGTATTTGCTATATCCTTTCCAATGGGATTCTTGATCTTGAGTGGCTTATACTTTTTTAGAAAAGAAAGAGAAAACAAAGCATTAAGACTGAAGAGTTCTTCAGTCAGTTCCCAGTACCCTCTTGCCTAGTCATACCCCCCCCCACGTTTGAACAGGCTCCACTATTTTTAGTTTTAATATAGGCTAAAACTTCCCTTACTATTACCATGTTCTATGCATGTCAGGAGATTTAAAGGGCCACTTCAGAATGTATTTGGATCAGCTGACTTATCACGATATCTATGTTGTTTATATATACATTTTAGTCTTATATATTCTTAATAAAATGTATATGTTAAAAAGAAAAAAGGATAGGAAATGATATAGCTTTATGTTCACCTTCTAATATGTAGCGTCTTCTATGAAGATTGGTCTTTTATGATGGACGAAGAGCGTTCTAGTATGATCCCAACCATGGCAGCTGGTAGGTTGTGACTTGGCAAAACAAATGCCAAATAATACTATTTTGAAGATGTACTCATTTCTTTTAAAAGTGCCTTTAAAAATAATGAATTGCTTGCTGGTAATGCTGTGAATGGAAGCTGTTATGGCAGCCATGATAACATATTCCATAGTGAAACATAATTGGATCGTAGGAAAGTAGGGCTGGAAGGAACCTTATGAGGTCATTGACTACAGCAGATGACCTCTAGTCCATGAAGTCATCTAGTCAAGGCAGAGGAAAGTCCATCTCCATCCTCTTTATAATCACCCTTCAGGATACTGGTACATGTACATTATAAGTAGCAATATTGGGAGGTTGCAAAATTTTGTTTGTGGGAGATGTAACTTTTCCATACAAATATTCATCTTTATAGACTATAGTTTTTGCTCTAGTAACGTATGATCAAAAGTAAACCATGGAGTTGTAGATCTTAAATAGAAAAGAACAAAGACAGTTTTGATAGCAAGATTTAACTTAGAAATTAAAATGCATTCTTGTGCTAGGAGTACTAGAGGGGAGTAGATTTTTCTTTTGTTTTACTGCATATGTGATGTGACATTCTTACTTGATTGCATAGTTTCTGTATAATATTGTACACTTTTTTTCTGCCAATGAGGCTGAAAATTCACCTATTGCTCAATGTAAACTAGTAAATATGATTGGAAAGTATACTTTTTCTATGACAATAAAACGTAATTTAACATCAAATTATATTAAGTATGCAGCAAGAAATATGGGCTAGTGTATATAGGCCGGCAATGCTATCATCTCAGATCATTTAATAATTAATTGCTTCAATAGCATGTAGCAAAGTTAGATGGTACATATATGGTGGGAAAATTGTACCTTTAAGTGTAGAGATCACTATAAATAGATCACTTCTGTGGCCTGAAGTATGTTGAAAAAATGTATGAGAGACTCGTATAAGTAATTTAGCTCTGGAATCTTTTTGGGTTTTTTTAAATATCTTAGTGCTTTATCATGTGACTCTAAAGTTCTAGCTATGTAGTTTTAGAATGGAATATCTTTGTTTCTGTACCTGAAGTTGTGCTGCTGTATGGTTTTTCTTTTTTGAAAGGTCTAAACTCCATTCTTTTTGCAATCAACATTGACAACAAAGATTTAAATGGGCAGAGCAAATGCACTCCTACAGTTTCTGACCTTTTAAAGGAATCCACACAAAATGTAACCTCACTGCTGAAAGAATCCACCCAAGGTGTTAGCAGCCTTCTGAGAGAGATAACTGCATCTTCTGCTGTTTCCATTCTCATCAGATCTGATCAGGACACTGACCCACTTCCAGTCCTATCAAAGACTGCCAATGCTGGTAAATATTTCAGGGCTGTTTAATGTATTACAAGTGTATAAAATGCTCAGTATATATATATATTTAATAATGGAACTTAATAATATCAAGAATAATTTGTCTTTAAAGCAATACAATTATGCTGCACTATATATTATAAATAACTTAAAATTTAAAATCATATCTCACTAGTTCCCTTTTTAAGAAGTGCTTCAGAAATACTGGTATGAAGGAAAAGAAATTTTCTTATGATGAATGTGTAATATGCGGTCTGTATCTCTGGAAGTAGAAGATTAAATTTTCTCTGCATGACAGTTGGGGTTTTCACTTGCAGTTTGACAGATTTTTAAATTATGACATTATACCAAGGAGATGTTGGTTATTCCTTTTAATTACATGTTTTTACCTTTATCACATATTTTTACTCATTACTGATAACTACAGTGGAAGATGTCTATAATGGTGCACCTAGATTGCAAGCCCCAAGTAACTGTAGACTCTTTGGGGCAAAGACATTGTGTATAGACTAAATCACAAAACAAAGAAATGTACATCATGAATGTACACTCTGCTGAAACCTCATGTACAATATTGGATTTGCCATTGCCATGATGCAGCTATCACGAACATAAGAGCTGCAACAAATGTAGACTGAAAGCTGAGTCTTCCGTCAATTTAATATAGTACAATAAAAATGCAGTGTACGCTCCTGTCATGTCTGCAGTGGCTATATCAAGAGAACAAATTCTCATCTTTATTTCCAGAAATTGAGCTGAAAATATTACTTCTAAACTTGCCTCAGAGGAGAGCAAGTAGAAAAATCCTTGGACCTTGACACTCCTTAAATAAAAAGACTGGCTTTGGGGAAACAAACGTTAGGAATGATTAGAATTTCTTACAATAATGACTGAAAGGGGTATAAAATGTGTAAATGCACATGGTAGGAGTAGGGGAGAGAAGAGAGACTCTAGTTTTTGGCATTTAAAACATACTGTCCATTTAAAAATGGACAGAGGATCTTCTGCAAGCTGGTGGCATATGTAAGTACCTTTCAAGGATTGTGTAGATGAAGAACAACCATTCTGTTGCTTCATCTCTATGCCAGCAGCCATATTTTTACCATAAGATGTGCCAGGACCCATCTGTAAATCTAAGGTAATGTTAAGAAACATGTTTTTCCCCTTATTCTGGAAAAGGAATAGATTTTTTTTTTTCCCAGAAATTATTTTCACTTGTTTTTGAAACTAAGTAGTGAGGTAACTTTGAGAGATGTATTGAAAACCCTTTTTACCCAAATTATGCTCAACCTATGCTAGAATAAGAATAAAGTAACCTATTCTTGGCAGTTTGTGTGGCCTAAATATTTTTGCAAGAGTCTGGGCATTGTTCTAAAGCACTCCAAATTTAAATTGGAAACTTATATTTGAATAAATAAATTCATAACACTTACCATACAGTATACTATGTAAACTAGGTGGTGAACAGCAAGTAATTGCTGTATTATGCTTAGATAAAAAGATAATACACTATCATTTAGCTGAATCATCTGAATTTTGTAAAGTGTGAAGGGTGAAGGTAGTGGGACCAGATGTTAAAATTAGAAACTTTTAAGATGTACTGAACTTCTTCCTCTGAGGGAATTCCACTGCACTTACTACCAAAGGAAACTGTTCAAAGTCTCAACCATTTGGTTAAGGATCCTTTAATACTAGACCAGTTTGAAAGTACATTTATATACTAAGTACATATATATAACTTCTGTATCTGTAACTTATTTTATCAACTGTTATTCTCTTTGTCATTTTTAACTCTTTTGAGTTTGCAGTGGTACTCTTAAATATTGTTTATCTATGGAATTCTTTTCGATCTATAAAATATCCTCATATGGAAATGTCTAATCAAGTTTTACTGAACAACAAATAACAATCTTAAATTAAAATGTTCTATTTTCTAATTCTAGAAGCATGAAAATGGATTTGGCAGAGATTTTTTTACAAAATCTCAGTTTTTGTGTGTGTCCCCCTTCTGTTCTTCCATGTTTTTATTTATCTACTCTCTTTCCTAGGTGGGTTAATGTTCTAAAATGAAATAGGTATATCCTGTTAGTATTAACTGCATTTAAAAAAATACTAGTTTTTTTTTCATTTAGATTTAAAATGTAAAAAAGAGCGAAAGAAGAAGAAGAGGGTGACACACATTATCTCATTTGATGAAGAGGAGGATGAGCAAAACTTTGGAGAAATCCTAAAGACATCAGTTACAGGAGAAAGCTCAGAGGAAAACTCTGATAGATCTTCACTTTTTGCACTACCTTCCTCTGAAGGCTCTCTTGGACAAAATCTGAATGGGAATCAGAATAGCCATTTGTGGAAAAGCAGTTCTCCATGCTTGAATGGAGAGTATGGTTACCAGAAGCTGGATGTGAAGAGTATTGATGATGAAGATATAGATGAAAATGAAGATGAAATTTATGGAAAGGTATTAGGAAATAAAGACATGGAAGATTACATAGAAATTTCTGAAAAGTAAGTATTTTTCTTTAAGGAAATTGAAAGTTAAACTCCTTTGTACTATTCTGCTTCGCTTTATGAACTCAATTAGTATAGGCAGGCCAGAGCAGCACCTTAAAGAATAATTCCTTCAGAAAGGCATAAACTTTTTTGTGTGTCAGGCTGGCAGACTTTCACATATGAAAGCTTGTTCTTTCTGAAGGAGTTATTCTTTAAATTGCTGCCCTGGCTGCCTTCTGCCTGATGTCAGATTACCTCTCCTTAATAAGTACAGAAAAACTCCCTTGGTTAATGTAAGAGGTCCCGAAACTTTTTCCTATTTTTGGGGATCAAACTAGAACTTAGTCTCTTTAACTATCTGAATTATTAGTATATTTGTGGTGGTCTGCAGTTAATGTCCCCCTTGGATTTGCAGCAGGACTGAAAATGGCAAAGTATCGTACAAAATTAATATGGTTATATATATCAAATATTTAAAATACATATGTATTTTTGTGTAGGCCACAGGAAGGGGGCACATGCAATTCACAAATAGGCAGTTGGACTCCCCTGCAGGTCCTGAATGATGATTCACATATTCTGTTCCCTGTCAGTGCTCTTGACTCTTATTCCCAAACTGGTAAGCATTTACTACTGTTTAGTTTAAAAAATCTGTTTTAGTTGTCCAGTAAGTTGAACACATGTCCTAATATATGATAATTTTCATAATACTTCTGTCCTCTTTTTTTCAATAAGCATGCAAGTCCATCTCTACCTGTTTGTCATCTAAGTTTGCATCCCATCCCTTCCATGTACATCTCTGTTCTTATTGATTAATTAGCTATACATCATTTATTTTTATTATAAATCTCAAATCTCCATAAGAATGTTGGTCTCAGGTGGCCTTCATCTAGCCATATACTTAATGATGGATTTTAAATAAAGAGCACTTAGTGTCAAAGGGAGGGATTTGATAGGAAGTCTCTGCTGTAAGATTATGCCAAATAAAGTAACAAGTGAAGCTTGCTAGATGACAGTTAGCCTCAGTTTGACATATACTGGGGAAGACAGGAACAACTACCCCACGGTGATGAAGTAATAATGTTCAGATGGATACTGGGTAAGATGAAGGCTGAAAAGCAACATAGTGGAAAGGTACAAGCCATAATGCAGCTATTTCCCATGATTGTAAAGCTGAAGGAGTGACATGGTGAAGATACATGTGAGGTGTCAATCTTGGATTCATACTATAAGATCTTAGTCCTTATGGGACAACCTAATGAAAGAAAACCTAGTTTCCTTTATACTTGGTTTACTTTAGCATCTTAAAAACTACTACAGAGTTTTAAAGTGAAAAACTTAATAGCTTCAATTACAAAACTTATACAAAAAATAACTCCGTGGTGATATAAGATTGTTAACCTTTTGCATCTGTTAGCTGTTTTTTGAAATTCTGTTTAGAGAACTAAAATAAAGAGTTTTGTAATGGTTATCAAGTTGTAGAAAGATAAGTACCAGTAAAGAATATTAATACCTTTTTGTGTTGGGTAAGAAGGGTTACAGACCACAGATAGAGAGAAGTCATTCTGGGGACAGCAATTGTCTCAGGATTTTTTGAGTCTCAATGCTGGTTGATGATCCCTTGACAATGCTTCAGTAGATTAGAGACATGAATCTTAAATTGTTTCATTCTTCAGCTGATGACACTTTTGGAAAGAGCTAAGCACTTCTTGAGAATTTTTGCGCAACTCTATTTCTTTTAGGAGTAGAGGTGGTTTTTCATAAAATCAGGGAGTATATACATAACTAACTTGTACACGGCATAACTTAGCAGGGCATTATTCCCTTTTCTGTCAAACCTTTTCTTTTTCTCATTGCAGTTTCTCCTGCAAGTATTTAATGTGTCACTGTATTCAAGATATGTTTAAATTAAAGTAGTGGTAAGCTTAGAATGCGTAAGGAGAAGTTAATATAGAGAAAGTTTCCAAATTTCCAGTATTTGTTATTAATAAAGAACATTGCAGGATCATGTATTCAGTTGTGTATGCATACATTTTAGCAGTTAGGTTTGCAAAGATACTCTGTCTTGGCCTCACTGAAACATGAAAATGAGACTATTTAAACCCTTGAACAAAGCAGAGGAATAAAAGCAGCTGCATGAATTCTGTCTGGCTCAATATTATTTAAATTGCCTACATTAGATAAAATCAGGGCTTAATGTAAATATAAAGGATTTTGTTTCAGTACCATATGCTACATTCAATACCTTTCAAGTTTTTAATTTAGTACTTCATCTGGTGAAGATCCTTTTTGAAACAAAAGGTTCAGCATATGTAGATAATAATGAAAGTATATATAAATGTGAATAAGACGAGAGAAACAGAGTAATTGCACACTTCTAAAATAAATAACAGAAGTTTATTCACTAACCCAGGCCAGAAGAATGTGAGTTTCGTATAGTCTCTAATTATTAACTTAGCAGCAGTGCCATAAAATAGATTTTATTATGTTTAATTTTTTTTTTGTATTGTTGTGATGTTTTGAAATGTTAAACATTGCCAGGCATAAACTATATGAATATTGGCTTTCTGCTTGTCAGTTCACATTATTTGTGCCTGTCATGGAGTTCATTCATCCATAATGTTTCCTTGACACCAGGCCAACCTTAATTGTATTAATTAAAGACAACAAAAGTACCCATAAGTGAGAGAGGGGGCGGGGGGATGAAAGGCCAAGTTGTAATAAGGCTGTTTGATGTACTGGCAGGATTAGCAAAATCCACCTAAAGCATGGGTGTCAAACATACAGCTTGCAGGTTGCTGGACTGACTCACGTGCTGCCCTGAACGCATGTGCTATGTGGGCTGGACCCAGCACCATGTGCCCTGCAGACAGGAGGGTCAGTCTGGGGTGTGTGCTGCATGCAGTGCCCTGCTGGACTGGTTCCAGGCTGGTTCAGATCTGGCTGTGTTGGAAATACTGGGAAGTGCTAGTCTGGCAGGGCACTACATACAGTGCATGCCCTGTGCCAGCTCTCGGCTGTGTGCAGTGTATGTGGCGAGTCCAGCGCCCCACACTGCTTGCAGCATATGCCAGCCCTGGAGCTTGTTGTGCCTGTGACATGTGAGGTCAGCATGGGGCGCACGCTGCCCATACTTGGTCTGGATCAGCACTGCACACAGCACAGGGTGTCCAGGGCATGGGCTACAGGACTTGACTTGACCCCCTGTGCTGCATACAGCACCAGCTTCAGCCTGCATGCCATGGGCAGCGCACGTCCTGTGCCGGCCCTGTATGCCACACACTGCAAATGCTGCACAGGGATTTGGTCCTGGTCCAGCCCGCAGATCAACCCAGCAACTATCATCCAGCTTATGGAGCCGGGTGTGTTTGGCATCCCTAATCTAAAACAAAGTGCATGTCCCCTTCAATCAAGGGAGGTGGCCCAGAACTGTGGATCTGCAGGGCGTGGGGACTACAAATGATAAAACAAGCAGACTAGGGACATTCGTTCATGAATCTGGTGCCCTGAGTTAAGCCAAAACACTACTGCTGCTCTGTGAAGGAGTCCAAGGATTCATCAGATGGGACCCAGCAGACTAGTGCCTGGATGAATGAGAAACAGACTTTACAGAACACCTCCCTGTTGTGCCTCCTTCATAGTTCTGGAGTGGCCACAAATAACATGGGCAGCTGCTACAAGTGTCACTCAAGCCCCAGAAGCCTCCGTTGTGGGGCCCGATGGGCACATGTTCTAGATTAGGTATGCCTCTGGCACCAGCAACAGTGGCAGTTAGAGACATTTGAGGTGTAACTTGTGGTATGGCACTCAAAAATGGTTAGCCATCACTGTCCTAGTCCCATAGATGGCCTTTTTAGCCAATGTCAAGAAGATTGAGATAGTCAGGCAACTTCATGGGACCATGGATGTAATGCACAAAGAGAAACAATTGTTGGGAAAATTGTAGCCAGAAATTTCTCTGTTACCTCAGAAAAGGTAAGTAGTATGGGACTACGAGAGCTGCAATGCTTCTGGGCTAAAAGGAGCAGGATGGTAGATATTTGAAGTGGTTTAATACAAAATATGTAGAAAGGAGATAAAGTTGTCTCCTTTGTTTTGTTTTAATTTTTTCGTAGATGCCAACTATAGAAATTTGGAATTCTGAAAAGCCAAATTGCTAAAAAAAAATTGCATGCATTTGAGCAGTTCTTGTAGTTTAATATCTATTAATATGTATAAATTATATCTGCTTCAGAATTACAGTGCAGTGGAGAAATGTGGACAGGATTCATGTGTGTTGTGTGTACATAAAATTAATCAATATTTTCACTTTTGGACTTCAGCCAAGAAATGTAATGCCAAAAGAGAAGTTTTTATGAAAAAGCAAACTGTAAAATAAGTATAATCAAAGTTGCACGTGGTTGTTTTGACATTAGAATATACAAAATACAGTTTGGGGTTAAATGTTGTCTTGATCTCCTCTGCTGTGTGCATGAGTTAGCCAAATCTTCCTCCACTGGCTGCAAGGACCCATTAAGAAAAAGCTATTTACTTAATTTCTTCTCAGTGTGGTCTTTCAGTATCTGTATTGCTGTTTAAAGATTTTTGAGCCACAAAGGTCTAGTACAGGATTTGCTTAGGGATTGAGAGAGGATTAATTTGCATATATTGAAGATGTAAGTTTAAAGATTTTGCTAAGGCTAGCTTTTATTATGGACTATTAAAACAATGAAAACAGGGACAGAGTGCTGTAATCATTCCATTAATGTTTGTTCCAGTCCTATTCTCCTGCTCTCATTTCCAATTGTATGCTGGTCAGTAGTAAAAGAGTATGTTTTCTTTTCAATATGCAACATATGCTCCACTAGTTTCTTAGAAACATTAACTCAAGGAGTTGAAATGAGCAATTTTGTAATTACTGTGTAATTAAGGTGGTAAAAAATCAAAAAGAGTCACTTCAGGAATTGAAATAATGCTGTACTGCCCTCTAGTGTCTCCTAAAGTACCTGCATCTTTAACAAAATACCATAATGGTACAGGGAGCATTCCCTTTTATATTTAATAAAAATTGCAGGGCTGAGATTCTTGTTTGCCCCCTTTCTAAGCAGATTTTAATGTATGCATTAATTTTGTGCCTGCTAGCAGATAAAATATATCTAAGTCAAAATAATATCTCTGTGTTTGACTTTTGACTACTCTTATGCTTGGTTTTGCATTTTTTTTTAAATTCACAGTATACCAATTTGGGTTGTAGCAAAGAATTGCTAACTACTTTGCAGTGTAGTAGGGAGAAATGTAACTTACTTTTTCAGTCCTAATAGTCCAGTAATTAAAACTAGTCTTAAAATATTGTTCCTAACCATGCTTTATGGTCTATTTCTGAGTTTATTTGGTAGGCACGAATATGCTAATATTTTGATTCATGGGCTATATTATAATGGTCAATAGCAAAATTGATATGAATGTGAAATTTTTCCAAAGCATTCTGTACTTCGTTAATATAAGGGTGTTTCAATTGCTGTCCAGATTACATTGCTTTAGGGTTGTGTCAAAGCATATCAAATCTTCGTGTGCCTAGGATAACACATCCAGGGCTGAAATTCAGGTGCCTAGAAGCAAATGGGAGAATACAGTAAGGAGATCTTAATACGTTCTGCAATTAAGAAAAAACAAACCCAAAACCTCACGAAACAAACCGACAAATAAAACATTCCCTTTCATTTTTATCCCAACATCATTATTGCAGTGTTGTCAGCATTCTCTCTATCTCCTTTGTTTTTCAAATACTTTATTATCTTAGGATACATACTAGGGGAGCTGCAATGGGGGTGCAGGTTTGTTTTACTGCAATTTCATTGTGGTGAAACAGAAAGCAAAATGATGGAAATATCACCGGAATGTGACGGAATTAAATATTGTGACTGAAGATATATTTTTTTATGTGAATAATTTTAGATGGAAATGAAGCTTAATAATGAGAGATGTCAGGCAGAAGACAGGGCAGCAGGTGGCACCTTAGAGACTTGGCTGGTTCACAGAGCCATAAACTTTTGTAGGCAATGGCTACTTCACTGCTTCTGACAAAGTAGGCTTCACCAATGAAAGCCTATACTTTTCTGAACCAGTTAGTCTCTAAGGCATTGTTCTGCCCTGCCATCTGCCTGACTTCAGATTAACATGACCAACTACATCTCTCCCTGCCACTAAGGTGTCTCAGCTATCAACATAAATCTGTTTCATCTTATTGATGGCCTTGGCAAATAGGTTTTTAATATACATAATCGAGATAGCTTGAGAGAAACTTTTCCATGTTAGCCCATTAATGCCTAAATCCCAAATGCAAAGAAATATCTCTGGAAAAGAGTAGTTTTCTATGTTCATTCTCTATATATAGACAGTGACAGTGAGGATGTCAGTTGCAGTGATGGTTTTTTGATTTTTAAGAATTGTCTACTATTTGTATTTAAACCATCTATTCACTTTCCACAAATGACTGAACAGCACTCTATTGGCAGTGACTATCACATATTATGTTGAATTAAACTAAGCATCAGGATTTGCAAAAATAAATTGGGTAAGGCATTTCCTAATAATTTAGAAGTGTAAGATGGTGGAAGTAAAATATTAGCACATAACGTAATCTGGAGTGCTGCAAGACTGTGATTACCATATTTACTCAAATATCAGATGGTCTCAAGTAATTAGATTTTGTATATGGAAAATTTATTAGCGGTGCACCGATACATTGGTCCATATCGTATTGGCACCGATAAAAGGAAAATTGACATTATTGGCAATTGGCTTTTTTTGTCTGATGTGGCTGATAATGCTGTGTAATGCAGCATGCATGCAACAAGGAGTGCAGCCCTGCAGTGTGGAGAGGGGGAAAGGGCTTGTAGGGAAGGGGCATGGGGGGCGCAGATTGAGGCCCTCAAGTTGAGGGAGGGAGTGGGGCTGGGGCAGGATGTGGGATGGAGCCACGAGCGGCTCATGGTGGGGATGGGGAGGCATGGCTTCTGCCACTGTGCATACCCTAGGGGAGGCATGGGGGGAGCATGTGCTCCCTGGATTTGTGTGTGGGGTGAGGGTGGGCTGCCTGCTTGGGATTGGGGGGCAGTGCTGGGCTCTTCCCAGCGGGGGAATTGGGGCTGCACTTGGGACAGGTGGCAGCAGTGCTGGGAGGGTGGGCTACTGGGGGCTAAAGCCATCCCCAAATTCTCTGTAACTCTTCTTCCCAGTGCCGCTGCCACCCCCCTGAGCACAACCCTGGCCCAGTCCCCTCCCCACTGCCAGGAAGAGCTCGGCGCTGCTCTCTGCCCCAGGCGGGCAGCCCACCCTCACCCTGCATGCATATCTGGGGGGCACATGCCCCCTGTGCCTTCCCTGGGATGTGCACAGTGATGGGAGCCACCCTTCCCTCCCTGCCTCCGATGATCCCTGAATGAGGTCTGCCCCGACTCGCCTCAGCTGTGCAGTGCCTGCCCCAGCACCCACTCCTTCCCTCACCATGCGTACCTCGATCTCCCTGCGCCATGCTCCTTCCCCACTACACACTTACCAGCCTGATGCTGCTTTCCAAGCTACTGGGCTTCATACTGGCAGTCGGATCAGTATTGGCCGATATGGCTTATTAATAATTGTCCATCGATTGCGGCCCAAAAAACCTTTATCGGTGCACCCCTAAAACTTATAAATATGTTATAATTTTCTAGATATAGAATCTAATTATTGGAGGTTTGCCTTGAATTTGTCCCCTTCCCACTGCAAAAGCAGAGAAAATAAGTAGCAGGGTCAGGTAGCCCCCTTATTCTCTTTCCTCCAACTTCTTCTCCTTGCAGCCGCTTCTACCTTCCCTTTACTGTTAGACCCTGCTCTCCCTGAGCACATGGAAATGAGGGGCAAATTTGAAAACTCTGACCTTGAAAGAAATATACCTGTAGTAATTTGCATATAGACTTAGTTCATCCAGAATTGGTGCAGTGTACCTTTTTTGGAACTGCTACAAGTTTGAGCACAGATACTCCATAAACACAGTTTTAAGCAACACTACATAGTACAAGCCATGCATGACATTAGTTTTAAAGCTTAAAGGCTCATAATTTACCATCTAGTTCAGGGGTGGGTACAATGGCAGATCTGTCTGGCGACCGGACTTCATTTACCAGCAGCCCCTGCCCACGTCACTGTGGCCGGGTTCCATGGAGACCCCAGCAGCAGTGGGGCCATGACAATATGCATCCAGGGTTTCCATGGAGACCAGCCCCAGCACTGCTGGTAGGGCACAGCTGGGTGGGGAGCTGCTCTGGGGCCAGGGCTGTGATCTTGCGGTGGTGACAGTGTGGTCCAGAGCTGAGGCAAAGCTGCTGCTTGCATGCCCCAAGCAGACTCCCCTATGAGAGCTCGCGGCTATGAATCTATTCTGTGGAGATGGGGGATTTTCCCCTAACTTGCTCCTTTGGCCCATTGGTTAAGGGCAAGCAACACTCAGGGGCATCCAAACCTCTGGGCTTGGGCCTGCACATAGGATGCCTGCCATGTCTTTGGAAGTATCTGAAGCCCCAGGCTGAAAAGTCTGGGAAAGAGGACACTTGCAGGTGGTAATGCCACATGGATTTGAATGACTGAGTTCTGTTCAGTTGATAGGTTTTGGAACTGATTTGATTAATTTGACTTGGAACATGAAATTAAAAAAAAACCCCAACTGCCGCCTCCTCCCTTGCCAACCCCACCCCCCCAAACAAAACAAAACAAGAAACCCTAACCTGTTTGCCCAAAACAGACCATGTGTTTTATAATCACGCTTAGTGTTGGCTGCATTAAATCAGCTTCATAGTTGGTTTCCATTACTGAGCACATGCTACTTTTGTGCATTGCACAGGCAATGACAGACAGTGTATTTAATGAGGTTTGCCTGTATGTGAATTTAAGACAACGAGCTTTTCCCCTCATGCTTATTGGAGAAGAATCCTCACCTTGTATTTGAGTAAATACAGTAACATTTTTTTCTGAACCACCTAACAGGATCAGTCCTATTTTCAAAAGTGACTTGAAATAATTTCCCTTACTACATTTATTAATTACAAATGTAGCAGACAACTATATATACAAATTTTAACATTGCATATTTTCTTGTAACTAATTCATATCATTTGGGTGCTATTTTAGATGCCTTGGAGAATGGAGATGGACATGATAGTGCTGTTCTTGCAGTAGAACTGGCTCAGAGGGGATCTGAACTCCCTTTCAGGTGCTTATCAAATTAAATTTATTACTTAGAAACAAAAATGCTGTAATTGTTAACTTGGTACCCAAATTATAATTACTTAGTGCTTGAAATAAGCCACTAATCAAATTAATTCTGTATACATGTAGAAAGACAAATGCCAAATCCACATTTCCATATTTTTATAATCCTCTTAATATTTTGTATGATACTCAGTGATACTAAAGGAGACCACTAAATATGTCAAACTTATGGATTTTATTGTTATGGAGTTTTGTTTTTTAAAGTTGTTTTTGTACCAGGCATTACTTGTGTGATTTGTGTATTTGAAAGCTCATATTTACACGATTAATGAATTACCACATTTACCCAATTCCAAGGTGACCTGAATTTAAGACAGCCCCCCTCCCCCACAATAATTAGGTTCTATACACGGATTTATAATTTATTATGAATCAGAACTCGTGGCAGAGGTGGTATCTCTTATTAGACCAACTAGATAATTGCAAAAAAACCCCTGGCTTTCAGGTTCCAGGGTGGTAGATTTACTTTTTCCTTGTAGGATTGTGACGTTTTCATTTCAAAATTTGCACAAAATAAACTATTCCAACCAGAAGATCTTACAACACCTTCAGCTTTCCTGTGAAATACGAATTTTCATTTCTACCTAAGAGAAATGTTACAATCTTTGCATTCTCCTATGCCTGAGGAAGGGTGAGTATGCCCGAAAGCTTGCAAATATCTAGTTGTTTTAATAAAAGATATCACCTCTGCCACAAGTTCTGATTCCTTTTGCCTGTAGACCAATACAGTTACAACCTGCATCAATTTATTATAATTTTCCACATATGGAATCTAATTATTGGAGGATCATGTTAAATTCAACACCTCCGAGAGAGGTGATGAGGTGGGCAGTAATGGGGCGGGTGTTGAGGGATGTAGTAGGGAGGCACTTGGTAGGGCAGGTGGCGGGGGGACAGTAAGGAAGAAAGTAGTGAGGGAAGGGTAGTGGGGGACAGGTAGTGTGGAGGCAGTGTGGCAGGCAGAGAGAAGCAGGCAGCTTGTCCATTGCTGCCTGCCCCCCCATCCAACTTACCCCCTATTGTGCCTGCCCCCCTCAGCCTTAGGCTCCCGAACCACGTTCCCATGTCCTTTTCTCTGCTTCTCCCCTCCACGCCACTTCTGCACTCTAGAGCTTTGGGTCCTCCCCCCGCCGAGGTCTCTACTCCACACCTGCCCCTCAGTACCCTCCCCTCCCCACTTTTGCTCTGCAACAGAAGGCTTTTCCCTTGCTGCAACCTGTGGCGCTGATTGTGGCTCCAGCTCAGCCCTGTAACAGTAGTGTGGTGCTGACTGCTGGTATAGGGCCAGGCTGCAGTACGTGCTCTGTGCTTCACAGTGAGGATTGAACCTCCCAGCATGGACGAGAGGTAAGGAGTACAGCAGAGGGGAGAGAGGGCAGAAGCGGCGTGCAGGGGAGACTGGGCGTAGTGAGGAGGAGTGACAGGGGTTCAGTGGCAGCAGTTGTGGCTCTGTCTCCTGCTCCAACTCTGGGTTGGGACCAGAGCCAGAGACATAGCAACTACTTGCCCCTGCAATATTCTCAGTTGTAAGGTGAGAGGCTTTCCTTGCCCCTCCCCCCCCATGTTAAATGGGGCAAAAAACTGTCTTCTAGTTGACTAAATACGGTAGAAGTTATAGATATTAAAAAATAAAAACCAAAGGCAAAAACCCTCCAAAGAACTGTTTGGCTTAAACAATGTTTTCTTCTCTCTTTACAATTACAACACATGAATCATAGTTACATTGTGAATAGAATGTTTCCATTATTGTTTTGAGGTCTGCAAATCTTCCTTCCTAGTCTTTGAATTCAGCATTTTGTTTCACATATTTAATATTGATGACATTCTGTCTTTTTAACTAGAGTGGAAGTTAATCCTGCTGTTCAAGTGAATGCTTTAAGCAATATGTTGCCTTCAGTCACTGTTCCAGAATCAATGACAATTAGTAAGTACTTACTTGATCCATTTAGATTGACATAATTTGCTTTTCAGAATTTGTTCTCAAAGTTCACTGACTTTTAAAATGTTTGCTTTCTTTTTCTCTCTTCTCAATAAGATGTGGTAAAGCAAAGCCTTTACTTGAACTGACATACAGCACTATATTTCTGACCTTCTGGTTCCTGCTGGGAATCTGAACTCTGAGATAATTTTTCAATCTGTCATTTCCAGAAGTTGATAAGGTGTTATCAGTGTGGGACAAAACCTTTTTTCTCCAAAAACTACTAGGAATGATACCATTAGATATGTCTTTAGCCATTACAAAAGAGCAATCAGCTTGATACCACAGAATGGCCAGGACACATCTGAATATGAACAGTAGTTATATTGAGATTACTAATTATTTTTCTTGACATATTTACCATAGTGAAGAAAACACTTCCATGTTTCCCATTACCTTACAGTCCAAAGATATGGTATGGAAAAAGTCAAATCCTGTCACAAGGCTAAGTATGACTTTCATAAACAGAGCCTCTGCTCTGCTTCCTTCCCATATTACCACCTATTACCCCCCAGTTGAGCTGGGGAAGTGGTCTCAGGTTGGTACTTAGCCAAGGCTGAGACCGTTAGGTATTTAGGTGGGGTAGGCAGCTTATTTACACAGCCTCTGACTACAAATTCCTTATCAAAGCTTTAAAAAAATTAAAAATTAAAAAATAAAAATCCATTCTTGTTTGTTAGTTGGATTAGCTACTTATATAGGTTAAACTGTGCATATATTTACCTGGTTCTTCAGAAAGCTACCCAAACAGTCTCATGGAAGCAGGTTTCCACAAATTCTCTTCCTCTCCCCCCCTTTTTCCCTTGATACCAGCATGTAATGATGTTATTCATGAGGATGGGAATGATATAACCAAATTTCATGTATGAAAATGTGTTTGCCAAATGATTAACGTGCTTAAGAGTGAACCGGGAGATGATTTGACCTCAATTTTTGGCATACAAAATAGCATCCAGTTACTTCCCCCATCATTATAGTACTATATTGTGTATGTACCTGATAACATGTAGAGATGTGCTGCTAAAGTAGGTAGGATGGAGCTTGGAGGTTGGAGCTTGGTCTGCTGGGTAACCCTGGACAAATCATTAAGTATCCATGCCTCAGTTTTCTCATCAGTGAAATAATGCTCTTCCATAAAGTGCTTTGAGATGTTTAAACGAAGAGTGATATGAGTGTGTATGTGTGTGTGTGTTTATATAAATGTATATATATAATAGTTTGGTGGCATTTGTATTTGTTAAATATACATTGTACGTTTGTAAAAGTCTCACCTTGTCAGAAAATGTGCTTTTCATGTATTTGCTAAAGTGAACTTCTGAAGCTTAATTTTATTTATTTTGCTGGATAAGAGTATTACAGCATAAGTGCAACTGGAAACTGATCCTTTTTGCTGTTTTGTTCTAGTTAGGATTAGCTTCAGTGTTTAAAACTACATACAGTACAATCTCTGTTATCCGGGATTTTACTAACTGGCATTTCTAGTGACCAGAATTTCCAGCCAGACACGGAGGGGTGGGAAGCTCACATGCGGCTGCCCCCCCCCCCACCCACCACACTGCGCTACTGCCCCTGTGTGTGCTACTGCCACTGTGTGTGGCTGCAACCCCTCCCCCCCCAGCATCCAGGTGGAAACCCTGTGCTCTCAGGTAACCAGCATTTTTATATTACTCACACCCCGCATTCCCCACTTGTGTTGGATATCAGGGATTTTACTGTAGTATTGTTGGCATCCACTAGGGGAAGCAATTGGTCTTTTCAGTTGACTTTCTGTATTTGGGATTATGTGCTGTTAATCTTCTGTAGAACTGAAAAAGTAAAAAATTATCTGTGGTCTGCATTTTAGTAGTTGCTATTTTACATTTTCCAGCTAAGATGGAAGGCAACATAAACATAAACATTAACACGTATTTTCAATTCATAAATTTTATTTGAGAAGTGACATAAGTCATTCTAAGCAATTTATGAAGCTGAGTGGATCTGTTTAGTTTATATGTCTGGTTAGCATTTTTCTTAAGTTGCAGTGTATTAGCCATGAATAATTATATAAATACTGATGGAAAATCATGTGTATGTGGTCAGTGTAATTTTTTAAAAGAATAGCTCTTCTAAGTACTGAAAAATTTCATTGATTTCTGTACCTAGGGTAATTCAGTAGTGTGAAAAAATCTTTAGTGGTTAGCTTTCTCTTTGTTATAATTAAGGAAATCGCTTATAAACAGTGAGGCTTCTAGCTAGTTGCATAGCAACACAAGTCTAAACACATCACAGATAAGAAAAATGAAATAAAATAGTACAATAATAAAAGCCATGGGGCTTCCAAAATGAGGTAGCTTTCGGCTGTTATATCTTTGAAGATAACAATAGTGGGGGGGAAAAAGCAAGATTTGGGGCCTGGGTACATAACATGTTTTCATGAATGTAAGTGTGTAATTATACTAATGTACTCAAAGGAGCAGATGCATGTTGTACAGCCCTATACTAGTATAAGTTATTCAAATATCAGTGAAAACTTACCCTGCAAAAAATCAGAAGAAAAAAAATAATGACATTAGCTGTGTAGGTGTTATGTAATGTATTGTCCCTGCCCCCCTCCACCCTTTTTTCCATTTTGATTTTATAGCACCTGCCAGGCAGTGCGAAACACACCATTTCGTTTCGACTTCCGTTTTGCTCTTTTGAAGGGACTTTGTTTCATTTCACTGTTTCGAAGCACTGTCCTGTTTCATTTTATTGAAGATGTTTCAATGCGTTTTGACGTTTTGCCCATAGGCTATAATGGGGAATCTCAAAAATTACAAAAATGCCTATAACTTTGTCATTTCATGCCTGATTCAGGTGAAAATTGAAGGGATAGTAGCCCCTTTTGAGGGCACGAAACCTGCCAAGCGTCAAGGAGGTAGGTGCAGGTGTTTCTGGGAAACTGCACCTCAAACTGTTCAAAGCAAAACTCGTATCACTTGCTGCCGAGCGCTGGGCAGACTTGGGTGCTGGCTCTGGCCCCAGCTGACAGCAGCAGCTGGCTGAAACCCTGCACACAGATCAGGGGCCTGTGCCCCCCGGGAAGAGCTGGGGAAATGATCAGAGAGCTTGGGAATCGAACCGGGAGCTAGATGTCAATATCAGAGCATTCCATCCCTGCTCTTCCCCCTCCCCCTCCTTAGTTTCTGTCTAGCTGCAAGCAAGCCCAGCTTTGAAACTCAAAGCGTTTCAAAACTTTTGAAACATTGCAGATGCCCTCATTTTGTTTTAAAGCTGTTTTGAAGCCTTTCGTTTTGTTTCGGTTTCAGTGTTTTGAGCTCGAAATGTGCTAAAACAGTTTCGAAACGAAACACCCGTTGAAATTTCGCACAGCCCTACCTGATGTGTAGTTTGGTAGGTGTTGCTCTAAGAACCTTCTTTGAAATGCTTGCTAGCCTTTTTGAATGTATATGTGATAGGCTTGTGGCCACAGGGGTGGCTCTGATGCCCCCAGTTGGCTTTGCAGCTCCTGCCTGGCTTGGACTCTGTCACTCTCCCTAAATGGCTCTCCTGTCGCTTCTTGTTCTTAATATTAAAGGTTGATGAAGGTTGACTGAGGCTGCCAACAGTCTGCAGAATGAGCCCTAATCCTAATAATTTCCCACTGGGTCTCTCATGAACCCCCCACTATCCTCAGTTCAGCTCTCAGGTCTGATGGGGTCTCTCTCAGCCTGACTAGGCCCCTGTAGGGCACCTGTAGCCTTAAGGGCAAATTGCGTGGCTCCTCTTCCTCCCCTATACCATGCTCCAAGCCTTGCAGATGTTGTTTCTCTCTGATGTTGTGTATTTGTACACTCAGCCCCCTTGCACCCGTGGATCCCCTGGTCCTGCACGCAGCCTGTCGTCTAGGCTTTTGGACTTTCTAGTCCAGCTTAGCCTGCTTTTGGCTTGTGGACCCAGCTCAGTCTTTCCTGGGGCTCGTGGACCCTCTGGTCCGAGTCTCAGTCTCTTCCTAGGCTTCTGGACCCCTTATTGGGCCCCACGCTCAATCTGAAGGCTCCTGGGTTACTGGTTTTAAATAGGTTTTGAGCCTGCCACAGCTGTCACGTTCTACAATGTTTAGTTAAAGCACCCCTGCTTCCATGTAGAAGCACAGGGACGCTGATACACAAGACGCTGTGGGCACTCTAATTAGAGTGGCTCTTGGAGTCTCTCTAATTAAAGCACCTCCTTCCCATTCCTGGAGCACTTGTAAAAACACACATATATCAAAATGTTGAAGTAGATTAGAGTGGAGTCTTGGCCCTATAGGCACAGCTTCCTTTAACTTCAGTAGAGACAAAAGTTCACACTATGTATAGGGGTGCGCTGATAGAAATTTTGGGGGCCGATACCGATAGCTGATTTTTAAGGAGGAGTATTGGCCGATACCAATCTGATTTCTGATATGCAGCCTGACGGCTTGAAAAGCAGTGTCTGGCTGGAAAGCCTGTTGTGGTGGAAGGGCACGGGGGGGCAGATCAAGGCCTCTGCAGTGCATGAGGGAGTGTGGCTGGGGCATGGGCAGGGTGCAAGACAGAGCCATGGCTTGTCCATGGGGTGGGGGTGAGGGCGGCTCCTGCTGCTTTGTGCACCCCGGGAGGGCATCTGGGGCGTGTGCCTCTGGGTCTGTGTGGGCTGGGCCTGGGGCTGGGCTGGGCTCTGCTCCGGGCAGGCAGTGGGGCTGGGCTGGGCTCTGCTCCGGGCAGGCAGTGGCAGTGCTGGAAGGGGGCTATGGGGGGTGGCTACAGCCACCCCAAAATTCTCTGTAGCCCCCCAATCCCTTCTCCCAGTGCAGCTGCCACCCGCGCCAAGCACAGCCTGGCCCAACCCCTGCCAGGAAGAGCCCCATGCAGCCCTGGCCCCAGCTCGCCCTGCACAGATCTGGGGACACTCCCACACCGCCATGCGCTCTCGGGATGTGTGCAGCAGTGGGAGCCACCTCCCTC